TCTTAGTTTCACAGCTGTGTGGGCTCCTTAGTCACTGGGAAACCAGATGTGTCCTTCCTCTCTTCTTCGCCAGCTGGGTCACATGAGGAAGGCTCTTGGGAACTTTGGTCTCAACCCACAAAGCTCTTCTGGTTCCTCCATGTACTCCCTACATGTCAGGGCCAGAAGCAAAGCTAGCAGCACACAAACAACTATGGATGCCTGATGGTAGTTTTTGTTTAGTTAAAAACCAACAAACCCTGAGGCTCCTGTTTGAATTCCTTCTTGCTGATGACTTTCACTACCTTACATCCTAACATCTGTATACCATAACCCATCCTCCCTAGGTTCGAGCCTGCTCACTGGTAAATAGAATCTCAATGCCACACACTCACAGCACTTAGGAGATCTGTGCCTGCTGAGTGACTAGCTGCACCAGAGACAGCTGGTATTCTGTACGGCACAAATGGGATGTGTATAGAGTGTGACTTAGAAGCCGAATTTCCATCTATGCTTCTTTTATAGAACACATTTTTTCCCCTAAAACAGAAAGAAAATTCCTAGCTGATCACAAACTATATGACTTTTAAAAGGCTTTTTAAAGGAAAAGTCAGTTCTCTATTTATTTAGGAACCTTATTATCAGACTGAGAAGGCATGTATCAGCGTTTGGATCCAAAGGCTCCTGTTGTTTTTGCCCTAAAAGCCCCTCCTGTAAGCTAGAGACCTCTCTATAGCCTCTTAGTCTATAGACAGTTACTCCACATTAGCTTAAAAACTACGGGGTAATCACATCAGTTATCAGTAGAAAAATACAGGTAGCTAATTTACAGAATACAATTAGTAACCTAATCCTTCCTGGATGGATCTTCTAGAGAACTCCCACCTCAACTGGATGTTAGTAGCTCCCCCACCAAGCAGGAAGCAACACAAAGGTGCCCATGGAGGGTACAAGTCTTGCTCAAATCAAAGAGATTAGTTAGGGTGGCCCATAGGGACAGTGAACCCCAGCACCGCCTCTGCCTCTCCCCTCCCACTCACTCTCCTTGTGGGGAAGGAACGTCTGTATGGAGAAACCTGGCACCTAAACACTGCTGTGCTGTTTACAGGTGAGGTCAGTGAAGCACAAACCCCAGTGCTGGGGGTGGGGGGACAGGCAGATCCTGAAGCTCACTGGCCAGCCAGCCAGTGGATGGGTTTCAGGTTTAGTGGAGAGTACCTGTCTCAAAAAATGAAAGGTAGAGAGCAACCCAAGACTGAGGAAACATATCTGATACCAGCCTCCGGTTGCCACACGTGTCCATGAACACCTGTACACAGCTGCACACACACATACGAGTATATATGCCACATGCACACACACACACACACACACACACACACACACATACACACAGACATACACACAGACACACACAGTTTTCCTCTAAGAGGATTTTTTTTGTTGTTGTTAAAAATCAATGCCAGATATAATACTTAAATCTAGCACAAACAACCCCTCAGGAGTCTCAGAACTACCTTCCTCCAGAATGATAATTTCTTGTGGTAAGATTCAGTGATGACTTAGCCAGCCACGCAATAGAGAACCTCCTTGAGGATGGCCTTCCGCCTTTGTGCTCCTAAGAGGAAAGCCAGGCCAGGCGTCTGCAAACACACAGGCTTGGTGCTCAGAGCCCAGAGATCATCAGAGCCATAGCAACAGGGTGCCTATTTGGCCACGAAAGGCCACACCACTTCAAGAAATGAAAGCTGACTTGTGTTGAGTGGAAATTGAAAGGGTCCCCACGGCTGAGAAGCCAGGGGCTCTAGAAGGTTCTGTTCTTAGCTGCTCAGTATCATTTCATAGTCACTCCCCATTGGTTTAAAAACTAAGGGGTCATCATGTTAGCTACTAGGAGAAGAAACAACTCACTCTCATACAGGACTCACATGAGTAACTTTCAAGTAAGCTCTGTGCAATATTGATGACAAATTAATGGCTATGGGGCTTGAACGAGCAGGCCTGTCAGTTGCTTACCCCTAGGTTTCTGTTTCTGTTCCCCACTAGAGTCCTCACCTCCCAGGGGCTTCAAGACCAACAGGTGCTTAGTCCTTCCCCAGAAGTTCAACTCAGCACAGTACTGCTGACCTAGCAGACCTAAAAGTTGCAGGTTTTTCTTTCATGAAGGTCTTGTATGACAGATGTCCTGAGGTTGAAATTTACCAATTCTTTCAAAATGTTATATTAACCCCACCCTTTGGGATGGTGATCTCAAATTGATTCAAAGTTTCCTGGAGTAGGAACCACCGCTGATGTACTGTAGTAACAAGCTGGGGCCCCAGAGGACACCCAGACATTGATGAGCGGTGTACGTGCAGATGAGAGCACCTCACCTCAAAGTCATGACCATCAGTAGGAAGAAGGTAGGCCCGTCCTCAGCAAAACCTCCTTTGAGACTCACTCAACTTAAAAAAAATATTTTACAATTATTTATTTGTGTGTGTGTGTGTGTGTGTGTGTGTGTGTGTGTGTGTGTGTGTGTCAGAGGACAGCTTGCAGGTGTCTGTTCTCTCCTTCTACCTTGCAGGATCCGGAGATTGAGCTCCTATCAGGCTGGGAGGAGGCGGCTGCCTTTACCTGCTGAGCTGTCTCACATGCCCTGTTTTTTCTCTTACTTTCACCCATCTTGTTTTGGGGCAGTCAGTCATTGGACCTTCCACACACCCCACATTTTTCGGTTTATTTCTGCAGATGTTTCAAGGTGTGGATGAGACAGACAACTGTGAAGAGGAGGTGGAAGCTTTGGCTCCGGGTTGGGGGTGGGTGGGCACGAAGTGACTACAGCAGTCTCCCCCACCCCCCCCCGCCCCCACCCCCTCATTCTCCTGCTCCATCACGTTCCACTAGGACAGTCTAGAAACAGGCCCTGTACCAGGTACACCGACTCTAGACACTACCAGCAGAAGGCTGCAGAGAGGCAGCCAGGGCTGGGTGCGTTCTCACTTCTCTGAACATCTGCTTTCCTTCCTTATCAAGGCCTGGGCAACACGGGCATAGAGGACTTGTGAGCTGCTCCAAGGAGGGCCTCTGATCCTTGACTTAAGGGCCCATTGAAACCAAACTACCAGACTGTTTTCCTGGAAACTTCACCTCAGAAATGGCGGATGGGCGGGAAGGAACCAGTTACTGTTGCATGCTCACTCGCTGCCAGGCACTCAATGGTACCACTTTTTAAACTGTTTTCTGGGGGGACTGGAGAAGTAGGACAGAAGCTACTGGACAGAAGGAGGTGGCCAGCTTTATTTCATGTGTAGTGTTCAAAAGCACAAGGGGACAAGCATCATGAGTCTGTCCAGCTATGGCACTAAGGACATCTTCCCTGTCATAATGACTCACGGAGCATGTTCAATGTGGAAGCACTAAGGGGGATGGCTCTGTGCCAAGAACACAGAAGTCAAAGCAAATAGGCCAGACACCAGTGAAAACAATTCCCAAATACTCTCTGGTCAGAAAATATGATCATAATTTGCCCACTTTGTGATGCACGGATGATGGAATGCAAGCTGATGGCTGACCTTGTGGCCACTTCGCAGTCAGGACAACTGAGGAACTAGAGGTTAAGCTGCCCAATATGAACTTGGAACAGAACCCTTATCTCCTTATCTTAATGATCCTCTGCTGCCAGGAGCTGTCTGGTGGCAAGGGAGGACTTTACCAGGTCTGGGATCCTAATGACACTGTGGCAACTGCCTTGGGTTACTTAAAGCTATTCAGATGCAGCCCAAATGGAAACTATGCTCTCCAGAAGGCACCAAAGGGCCCCTCTTTCACTGCAGAATTTCATCCACTTAGATGTTCCATTTTACATGATCTATTTTAAAAATAGTTTTCTATATCTGACAAGTTTTTTTTTTGCTTAAACATACATTCAGAACTTTTTAATATCCCCAAATTTAAATCACAAAGATTAGTTACCTTGAACTTTGCCCCAAATTTTACATTTTCTATTCTCAAAGTCGTCATCTCTTTTGCTCAGCCACAGAAAAGTAAAATAAAGCAAGGATCGAGTGAGTAGGGCTGAGACTCAGGGACAAAAGGCACAGGTGTTTTTAAAAACAAGAGGCTTTGCACAGGGTCTCCTGTGATCCTGGCTGTAGTGTGAGGACAGATGCCTTGGGTCACTGGCTGACAGAGTGCTTTCAGGACAGGCAGACTCCACTGTGAGGCCTGACCCCATGCCTGGATGGTCTAACTCACAGGCACTCATGTATAGCATCCCTGAAAGCTTCATGCACTGCTTCATTCTCCCATGGAGCACATTCCATGGAACACCATGTCAAACTCCAAAAAGAAAAACCAATGCTTCTCCAACACTAGGCGGCTTTGCCTTATCCCATTTGTGCTGGGTAGCTTTAGTGTCAATTTGGCACACCTGGGTTGGGGGAGCCTCAATTGGGGAACTGCCTCCATAAGACTGGCCTGTGGCCATGTCTATGGGGCATCTTCCTGATTGTTGAGTGATGTGGGAGGGCCCAGCCCACTGTGGGTGGTGCTGCCCCTGAGCGGGTGGGCCTGTGTTGCATAAGAAAGCAGGCTGAGCAGGAGCCAGGGAGCAAGCCAGCAAGCAGCGTTCCTCCATGGCCTGTGCTCCAGCTCCTGCCTTCAGGTTCCTGTCCTGAGCTCCTACCACGGGCTCCCTGATGAACTGCAACCTGGGAGATGTAAGCTGAATAAACCCTTTCCTCCCCAAGTTGGTATTGGTCAGAGTATTTTGTCAAAGCAATTGAGAAACAAACTAGAACACCATCTAAACAAGATGAAAGAGTGATCGACCACTAATAGAACACACGCCTGGCCTGGTGAAGTACTGGAGAGTCGTAGATAAGACCCCACCTCTTCTTTCAGGAACACTGCTTATAAATAAGTCAGGCAAATATACTTTAATGCACCGTTAATTTTACTACTGCCTTTTCCATGGTCAACAGCCTACTAAGTTAAATGTAAATTTGACAGTTGACAGATGAATGTGAAAAGATGCTTACCTCATCCCATTCTAAAAGGTAGTTGGTGATTTTTGAACCATTGTCAATGGGAGCCTAAAAAAGAAAATAATGCAATGAGATTGTTGAAAGGTACCAACCAGATTTAAATACAGTGGCTGTTAACAGCTCTGTGCTGTCCCCTCAGAGAGGGCCCTTGGCTAAACACATTTACCTACTAACTTCACACAACACAAGTTAAGAGAGGCCTCACTACCGCAGGTCTCCCCCATCCTGCCTCTGCCCACACACCACCCGGGCCATGCTTCCTGTGGGATAAATCTTTGAAGAGCCACTATAAGCTTGGGTATAGAGACAAAAGACCTGCAGTGCTCCACGGACATGGCTTGGGTGGGGAGCAGGCACTGCCATGCCCAGTTTCCTAACAACCCCTACAGCTTTGGATGCTTGTTTTGTTTTGCTTTTTTTTTAAATTCCCCAGCGGCTATTGCCGCCAGTCCTGCCCTGATTTTCTAGGGGCCCCTGACTTGCATTGGTTGCTGGCTAGGGTACAGTGCCCCATCTGGCTCTCCCGTGAGCCCCTGACTTGTGCAGGTCACTGTCGCGCTAGCCCCTGATTCCTGCCGGTTGCTGGGGGGGGGGGTTACATGCTTT